AGAGGGGTGGGTGAGTGTAGGAAAAACGTTAACCACAATCCGTGCTTCAACATATGTACTAGAAGATTTAACTCTGCTACCTGCCAGGGCACAGAAATGCAAATAAATCATTTATCAGTTGTGACTAGTTTAGAGCAGAACTCAGTGGGGTTCGCACAAGCAGAACAGCAATGTGGCCTCTCTCTCCAGGTGTGACTGCATTTGCAGATGAAGAGCGGCCTTGCTCCGTGTGGGTAAACACATGCACATAAAATAATGGTTAAGCCTTGGATGAGTATGTCCCCAGGGTTTCTGCTGCAGGCTTTAATGCAGTGCATCTGCCTCCAGGAGCAAGGTGAAGCTTTAAGCAAGTGGCACTGGCTTTGCCCCCAGAACTGGGCCTGGCAGAGGAGTCACACCTGAGGCCAAACTAGAGCTGGGGAAATAAACAAATAAATAAAAATGAAGGGGAGTTGAAGCCCAAAGGCTAAGAGTGGTATTGGTGACAGCTGAATAAAGCCAAATGCACTGAGCTGCTCTAAGTGTGTGATTGCAGCTGCGAACAGTTAAAGCTGGTGGAGTTCTGAGCAAGAGCAGAGAACAGGTTTTTAACAGCAGGCTGCAGAAGGTACCATGGTTTAAGATGTTAATATGCTTGTAATAAACAGAGCTCTGAAAACAGCCAGGGCTCATGCATTTGCCAGCTGTACTGACACTCAATTTCCAGTGCCCGTTTTTTAGAAAGGCCCAGAGCATAGGTGAGTGCTACGGAAGAACAAGGTCCAGCTCCGGCACTGCCACCACTCCCTTGCACAGCACCCATCAGGTCACCTCTTCTGCTTTTAAAATTATTGCAAAAGTAACTGCATGGATCTGTTCTTCCAAATAAGAACTGGCAACTTCTGAAATAACTAGGAATAAATTTTAATATTTAATAAAACACTGAAGTTTCTCAGTCAGACATGTAATAATGTGACTCATCAATGTGAAAAAATCCCATTAATATGTCTTCCAAGGTATTTGGCTTTTCAAAGTAATTCAAATGAAAAAAAAAGCCTTTAAAAACTGACCATGAATACAAAGCTACAGAACAAGACAGCCATTTAATTTGATTATTCTTCCTGGTTTGTATGAAAATACAACTACCATCATTCAACTGAAGTTCATTTCCAAGCTTTTTTCATATGATCAAGTACCAACAAAGTGTGAATTTGCCTGTTGTTACCCCAGTTTTGAAGAGTCCATTGGAAAGACTGTTTTCTACTTCAATGGTCAATACGCTACGGACATAATAATGTCTTGCTTGGATGGTATGTCGGCAAGTTTATAACAGGAAAGTCTTTTAACTTGTTGAACACTAAAAGCAATGAGTTGCATCGTGAGAAAGCTGCTTTTCAAAGCGTTTTTGTCCTGGAAGAAAAAGATAAAATAAATAAAAAAAAAAAAAGGAAAAGCACAAAACTTGAGCATATTTTCCCAGTGCTGCCAAGTCAGGTGCAGCCTTCATTAAAAGGCTCTTTAGAACCCCCTTCCTGAATCAGAAACTCGAATGCTACCGGGTCGCTTCTGAGCAACAAGGCCGAGCTCACGGGACCGCCAAGGCCGAAGGAAGGACCGGATCCGTGTTTCCCCCGGCCCCAGAAGCGGGCGAGGAGCAGGAGGAGCCCGTCCCTGCCCGGGCAATAGCAACAGGCTGACGGCTTCAGCAGCAGGAGCAGAGGGAAGGCCGACGGCCGCAGGGCCGCACGGCCACCCGCCCTGCAGTGTGGGTTCGGGGTGGGACACGGGCGCTGTGCTGAGCGCTGCGAGCACCGAGAGCCCCGTGGGCGCCACGCGCGGAGCGCTCTGCGGAGCGAGCAGGGAGCGCGGAGACAACTCACAACGTAACAAACTATAAAGGCAGTGGTTAAGGTAAGATTTTTATAATAACTTATTTCAAGGTATCCTTATAACCCTTCCTTACATGGTAGCGTACCCAAACAAATAATGGTCCCAATGACATCAAATTCCTTCATTTTGTTTTAAAAGTGACCAGGAAAACGTTTCTGTTTTGCCACCTGATCTCACCTTTCTCCCCTCAATTAAAAAAAAAAAAAGTAAGCAAAACATATAATACATTTTTTGGCATTGATTTTAGGCACAGGCCTATGGTTCAGCCTTGGTACAACAACTATAATAAAGAAACCTTAATTTTTTTTTCCTCAAGTGCAAGGCTTGGCATACCAGTTTGTCTTAAAAATACATGTATATAGAACACTTCCCCCTTATTTTGAACTTTTTTATGAAAATTAATTCAACTCCCAAAAGTGTTTATAAAAATGATTTAAAGAACAAAGTAGTAGTTTGGTTACAAAATAAAAACCGAAGCGTTCAGGGCATGGTAATGGTACATTCAAAACCTGTTTCAATCAAAATCTTCTAATAAAACCATTTTTTTTTCTTTTTTTATGCTTTGGGAACAAATGGGTATTTCAATAAAACCAAAATCTAAATCAAAACCTCAAATAATACTGGGGAAAAAAAACCATACACTTTTATGACATCGCAAGGCTTCATTTTCCAAAGGGCTACACAGAGTTTCTGCACTATTAAAGGCAAACTAAGCTAGAACATACACAAATTACTAAGTGGACATGAAGGCGCACAGTGTGTTTACATAGGCTAGATAACAATGGCACAAGTCAACTTGTAACACTGCCTAATCACATATCACTGTCATGCACTGGGAAGAAAACGGGTAAAGACATTCTCCTTTACCATTTTTCCCTAGTTCTAATATTATTTCCACTTAACTAAATCTTGTATATTTATCTCACAGCACGTGTGAGAACCTAAGAGAAGCACAAAATTCAAACCAGCTTTGCTCAAACAAGACAGTGGCAATAAGGTAGTCAAGAGCAGAACTTGTAAAAAATAATGGTTTCCAACAGTCTGCCAAGTCAAGTAGCCAGTTTTATATAAACCATATAAAAAGGAAAACAGGCTGAATTTTGCATTAAAATTGTTCCTTATGTGCTACGGTTTCTCCTTCAAAAAAATTATTTCACTTTTAATTAGCTGCTTTGAATATTTCTTTTCGCACTTCAGTAGCTACGTACGTTTCACCTTCTGTTTCATTCGTGGGTATTTTTGTTCATTGTTGTGCATTTTTTACATTATCACAATGTCGTAATGCTTGGGCCTCAAGCATTCCAAAACAACGTTACTCTGAGTTTTAGTTGACATTAAGGAAAAAAAAAATCAAATATCTTTTCAAATAACAGGTTTTGTATGATTTATTTTTTATTAAGACACAAAAATCCTAGAGTGTTGTGCCTGGATCCCAAGACAGTGTCCCTTTAATCCAGGCTTGTACAGCTCTGCAAGATCAATTCATTTCTGCTTCACTGGAATGAAATACAGGAAAAAACAGTATAGAAAAAAAATCTCTTACAACGTAAGATTCCCCTTTTCTGGTACAGGGTATGCCTTTCCCACCATGCACTATACTTCTTGGTGGAAGTTATAAAAACACTCGTTTAAGGAGCACTGGAGAGCTATTTCATAAGAGCACAAACAAACTCCGTGTGTGGCTGCAGCGAGACGCGCGCCCGGGCTGCGAGCGGCTCCGAGCGCTGGCGCACACACACGCGCGGGCAGCGCTTCTCACTGGCACCACAGACCAAGCCTTCTTTTACTTAAAAACTCGCGAGCTAATAACTTCTTTCAAGGATATACTATTTTAAACATCTGTTGGTTGGCAAATACTATCTCAAAACCTATGTTTCTGCCTACCTGGTTTGCTTTTAACCTACCTCCAATCTGGAAGAACACTGGAGGGAACCTCTTACATTCGTAACAATTCAAGTGTAACTGTAATGCTGAGAAATAAGTTTGGTTTGTCCTGAAATTTTCTGAACTATGCTTGCCACAGTTCGTTATCAGTGCAGAAGCAGCAGGAGACTGCTGTGGTTGGCTCAGTGGATTTATAAAACAAAAAATAAAACAAAAAGCCCGCCCTCCCGCCCCCACGTAACCTTTACAGAATATATGTAAAATTGTGTCCTTCCCTGGTCATATTCACAACTTATCTACAGGATAGTGTTGGCAGTAGAAACTGCAGTCCATTACTATTTGCATTCAGCTCTCATCCATCTGTTCCTCTGCTTTCTCTTAGGCTTCAACTTGTTCAGTTTTTTGCGGGGTTTCTCAGGCTTCTGAGTCTCAACAGACTCTACCCCAAGAACATGTTCAGAGCAGCATAACTGTCCATTTAGCATAGAATTTAGTACTGTCCCATCTTGGTGTTCCTTGCAGAAAGAATTTGGGCAGAAGTGGCAAAAGGAAACGGAAGGTTTGCCACAAACATCACAGTGGTGCCACGGACACTCCCACTTTCCTGCAAATAATAAAAATAAATAAATTACCACGAAGGAAAAAAAAATAAGTCAGAATTGTTTTAAGAAATTCTGTGTTTTAGTATCCGAAATAACAAATGCTGACTTTCCTGATCGAAGAAAGATGAGACAGCAACTACTGTGGCTCATTGCAAAGGTTAAAATTCTGCACCCTACATGTAAAGCACAACTGACAGGAGTAAATAGCTGACTTGACTCTGAGTTGCTTCATAGCGACATGAAGCCAGTAGAAATTACTCAGACTTTCCTGCATAGCATTTTACAGAAGCTGGGGGCTAGGAGAATCCTCGGCTATGCAGAGGCCTGCAGAGATGAGAGCCCCACTCACCTCTTTCCAGTTTTGCTCAAGGGGAGTTCATGGGCTTTACCTACCAATGCTCATTTCTGTCCCAACGTATTTTCTTCATTGTTATTTTACTAGTCTCTGGGATAACTGGCTTTGTCTGCTTCACTTCCTCACATCCCACCTGATGTGAGGAGCTGGCTGCGAAACCAGGCAGCTCCTGTAGCATCAGCGACTGCAGCCTGATTCTGCACTGCCCTCCCTGCCTTAGTGCAGATGTCACTGCTGTTCCTCTAGAAGAGGATCTTGAACTCGGCTGCTGTCATGCATTTCTGGGCAGATACAACCAACTTTCCTGGGCAGAGCTACAGTGCTCCTACACTGCATGAAGCTACACGCCTTCCTACAAGCAAAAGCTCCTCTTGCCAGAGGGGCAGGACACAGGCCCTGTTTTTGTCTCCATGCTCAAGAACAGCTCCTACACTGAGCAGGAACAAAGCTCTTGCCATCAGGAAAAAATGTTTTCAAAAAGCAGCTCTCAAGAAGTTTCCAGTGCAATAAATGAGGTACCTGCAAGGTCTTTATTTATGCAAACCTACTCACCGAAAGGACGTTTCACCAAGCCAAGGCAGGAGAGATGATAAGCTTTAGTACAAGATTTCCTGTCACACAGCACCAGTTGGCCCCCGTCGCCACAACGGAAACAATCATCTTCAGATTCTTTCTTCCCCTCATTTTTCATTCTACGTCTCCTTGTTCTCTTTTTGGTCTTTTTGCCTTTTTCTTCTGAGGCATTAGTGGAAGAATTCTAAAAGAGTAAGTTGCATATCTGTAAATGCCCGTTTGGAAACAGAAAAATCCTACACAAACTAGCAAAACTGCTGGCATGTCTGACATTCAGCACATACAGGCAAAAAAATAGATTTGGTACAGATCTGCCCAAGGCCTTATCCTGCCTATCCATATGGATGAAAAATAAATTTACCCTTTAAAAAAATCCTCTTGAACCTGCTGCTCTTGTCCCTACAATTCCTCCCTATTGGAAAGTTCTTCCAGTTTCTTGGGGCTGAAGAAAGGTCTCCAGCCTAATTCGCTCATGGTTAATTTTTCCCCATTGTGTTCTTGCACTAACAATCACTTAAATATCTGTTTTTTTCTCTCCCATTTGTATATTGCATTCCAGAAACTGTGCCCTTAAAGCCAGAAAAAAACATGTCAAGCCATATCCCTATTTCCATCCAATATTTTGCTGCTTGCACTTTAACTTTCCTTCTCTGAATCGCACAAAATTAATTCTGGGAGCTTCTTCAACATCTCAACCATCTTCCCCCACCTCCTCACCCCAGTAATTACTACCTACTTTCTTTAAAATTAGCCCATTCTTTCTACCAGTACAAACAGTCCTGTAAAACTGAGCTGTAACATTTTGTTTTTTTATGGCTTTCTGCATAAATTGATCACAAGCTTGTGTGAAATCCCACTTAAGCCTCCTGTCTGTTAGGAAAAACAGCTATCCTGGAGATTGTAAATCCACCTTCTGCAGCATCCAACACTGAGCAGTGTGAAGGACATCTTGAGATGCTGCCTTTCTACAGCCACGAGTGGGACCGTTATCTCTTGGGAATGTCCCTGTAGTCTCCCATGCTACTTATGCCAGCTTTTCAGGAAGAACCATCAACTTCTGTTGGATTAGTTTTTAAATAAAGCTGACATGAATCATAGAGGCCATTTCTTGATAGCATTTGGCACCTTTTTTCTTTACATTTAGATTTCAAAACTCATTTTTTTTGTTCTTCAGTTCAATTCCAGATGCAAGATCTTTAACAAATCTAGTGAGCATTTTAACACCCAGAAGGAGGACACACAGATGGCAATGTCAGAAGAGCCTCACTGGTTACAGTTTGGCTCTGCAGGGTAGGATTTAACTCAATAAACATTCAGTTCTGTGCATGTTCCCTTTGCAGCCTCTTCTTTATGCTCTTGATTCCAAAAGCTAGTGCCATTAGCTAGCAATATTTCTAATTTGGGACCTAAGGTCATTAATTTGCCATAGGAGAAGATGGAAAAAAGCATCTCTGACATCAGAGGAGGAGGTTGCTGCATTTGCTGTAGCTGCCCCTATCACAACATAAAACTGATCTGCCACCACATATCCCAAAAGAAACACAAAGCTAGTGGTTTGGCAAGACACTGTCATACTCTCCTGATACACTGCTTACCTTTGGTCTGTCCCCAAGAAATCCACTGCAGTTTGGGGCACCACATTTGCAGACTGTTTTTTCATTGCCCAGACAGTCAAGGTTGTAATTAAAAGTCAGCTCTGTCCCTAAGTGATAGACAAAACACCCTCTTTTATTGAAAGAGAAGAAAAAGGTAAGAAAGTCTTCCAAGATTATTACACCCAAATAAAGGTTTCACCATCTGTCTTCTGGCTGAGTCTATATTTGCTGCTCACAGAGTTCCCCCTTTTACAGCTCAGAAGCACAGGCAATGACTAATAAGATGTCTGATGCATGTGCACATAAATTGATCTGACTTCAACAGAACCATGCATGTGTCTGGTGCACATGCATACGCACACACACAGACCAGAATACAAGTATTCTGAAATATCTTCCTTCACCCACTCAAGTTATCTTCACTTGAAGAAAAAAAAAAAAAAAGTTGCAGAAAAACTGTTTGAAACCTCTAAAGCAAAATCTCTATTTTATTCTTTTGACAGACAGCACAACAGGAATACACAGATATAACTAAGGCTCTTGGGATTCCCGTATAAGCCAACAATAAAGAGCTGTCTCAGGACTCGTTATTAAGAAACTCACTATTAGAAAACACTACAGTAAAAGGAAGATGACAAAGCATCCTCTGTGTGCAGAACTCTACGGAAATAATTTACTGAATCCGTTAAATCATTACTCTTGGACCCATTTCATATAACCACCCAAATGGTTGTTTCATTTAGTGGGTAAGATTATATACCTGCAGGAATATCACACACGGCAAACAGGCCGACACGAGTGTCTCCATTAACTGTCCATTTTAGAGTCTCACAATTTGGTTGGCAGCTGTGATTCATAAAACGAGAATAGTTTCCTTTGGGGCCAGCATCAATAATACGGTCCTGGAGATGAAACCAGCAACAGAATGAATATTTCTGCCCCCACAAAAATAGTTTTTCATAAATTATTTCAGTAGTTACATTCAAACCAGACGTGGTGATGCTGCCCAGAGGCAGAAGAGCAAACTGAACGTTACATGTTGTATTGAAAACTGTAGTGTCCCATGGGGCCTGCAGTGGGACACTCCCAAGGCAATACTTGTGATGTAGCTCACATTTTCCCATCTCAGCCACGCGGCAGGATGAACGTCCTTGTGAGCACCGTGGTGGAGATGTTAGACACCTCTTCCCTCCAAAAGGCCTCAAAACTGGAGCTCGGTCCATTTACCTTATACTCTGTACTCAAAAGACTGCTCTGCATTTACAAATACTGTGCTCTATGGTATTTACCAAGTCACTGCGTGATTACTTGCAGTTTCTCAACAGCTTTCCTTCCCCAAACCAGCCTAGTTTAAACAAAAACAAGCTCTTGGTAAACTAAAAAATAATAAAAAAAAATCTCATCCCTGCACACAATTGCGTTTTAATTTCTGTCTATTTCAAACATACCAGAGAAAACCCCAGGAAGTCTTGAAATAGCCTGAAGATTTGAAACTAAGATTCTTTGCAGGGCTGTTCGAGAGAGTTTTTGCTTATTTGTGAAAAATACAGCACCATTCTTTCTTTGAGCCAGAACAAGAGCTTGATGGTTCATTTGAAAGGCTGAACAGTAGAAGAAGAATTAATAGTAAATTGTATAGTTACAAATTATTCTGCTTTTCACAACCTAGTGCTGTTTCAGAAGTATCTTATACAGAAGAAAAAGGTATTTTAAATCCTCCTCCTAAGTTTATAGTGTACGTGCACGTCTGTCATGACTACACGCACGTTTCAGCGTGGTGACTGCTTTGGCAAATACCCAGTAAGTTGCCTGAGAAGGACCTTTACACACACTAACTGCCTGCACAGCTCAAGCAAATAACGGCACGGGCATTTTTGAGAAACCACAGCAGTCATTCATTAACTACAGGCAGAGTCAAACTCTGGTTCAGTTCATGTATTTAACACACTAACACTGTGTGTCAGTCTAGCAGACAAGATGGTAGGCGATAAATGTAACTCCTGGCTACAGGACAAGTGACAGCACTAGCTGCAGAGATGCACAGCACTGGGCACACGAAAGGTGGTTGAGATTGCAAAAAATAAGCAGAACTGACAGTTCCAATTTGCTTGGGGATATTTTTTGCTCCTATGTATCTATTTGGAGGCTGAGGCAATACAAAAAAGACATGCATGTAATCAATATCCCCCTGCTCCTCATTTCCTATTTTCTTCTTTCTCAGAAGCAAAATGCTCAGAGCTGCATAGAGAATCACAGGACCTGGATTAACTTGCTGCGTTGGCCAGAACTCATCTGTGGGGTCTAGCTGGCTACTAGCGCAGATGTAAGAGGGTTTCTACAAAAGCTTAAGCCTAGCTTTGCTATAAGCAAAGTGACAGGTAGCCTAGCAGATTTAATGCCCAAAGTAGGATACAGTCTCACAACACTATTTCTTACTACCCTCAAATGAGATTTAAATTTAATTTGTAGTAAAAGGATTGCTAACAGTAATTGTTTCACCTGTACATAAATTGCATCCTTGCTACTTCACAAAAATTCATACTTTCTCTTAAGGCTAGGCAGATAAATACTTCTGCTGTACCATATTTCAAGAAGCAAAGCATATTCCATAGACCTTCATGCATGCTTTCTTACATGAAAGAGAACTAATGCAACATCTGTACATACCTATGCATTTATACCTATATAGAATGGAGCACGAGCAGGCAGAAAAGATACAACACTGGGAATATATGAAACTATGGCACAACACACATAGTTGAGGGCCCTCCCAAGGCAATCAAAAGGTGGAAAAGAAGATCATGTTACAATTAACTGGCAAAATAAAAATTAAAATGCTTTACCTTATCAATAGTGAGCATATAGAAGTGAGTAATGTCATTTTCATGTGCGTATTTGATCCTTGCCATACACTCCTCTTCATCAATTAGCTCACCAACGTACTCGTTCACAAACTCTCCCTGAAGGACACAAGGTATCACTAGTAAAGTATGTACCAAGCCCACAGAGAGCAGCACAAGTTTGGAATTCTTTGCCAAGCAAGAGCAATTCCTACCTTTTTTATGTCCCTCTTAGCAACCAGACCCCACCCTTTGCCATCAGTTTTGATGATCTGGGTCTCAGGGTATTGACGTTTTGTAAAGCACTGGTTTTGGCACCGTTCTCCTGCTGGACAAACTTGTGGGTGACATTCATACATGAGCATCCGATTGAGGCACTCGGAATCAAAGCCACAAGGGTTTTCGTCTGTGGGTTTGCAGTTGCACTTGGGAATCTCAGAAATGTCAGCAGTGTATATCTGAACTTTACCACAAGGTTTATTCACCTGGATAATAAATCAAAATAGTTCAAATATCACTTCAAAAATCTGAATTTATTTTTTTTTAAAAAGTTATTACACAGTGGTTACTAATCTGATTTTGCAACACTAGATGCTCGAATGGAAATGAAATTTCATGGTCTCGTGACCCTAGCCGAATAATGACCAACACACACATCATCACAACCTCACCTCCTCAGTGCTAGCTTAGACCTTTTCAGTATCTAACATAATCTTCTCAAACCTTACCTTAATGTGCTTGTACGGGGGAGGTTTACGCTCACTCTCTTGAGTTTCTTTGGCTTCTCGCTGAAGCTTTATTTCTCGGAATCGTGCTTCAGCTTCTTGCAAAGCTAAAAAGATATCAACAGACATGCTAGAGAGACAAATCAAGTATCTTCTATTTCCTAGTTAAACCATTTTATTTATTCATTTGTTTATTGCAAACAATACTTCTGGAGCGTTAATGCTCGTTCACAGATCTATCAACTCTACTCTTTCTGTCTTCAGTTACTCTCATTGATTTTGCCTTCCAGAAAGCCATAAATCAGCAGAAAGAACTTCAGTTAGGTAACAGTCTTTTACAAGTCACCAAAAGAACACTTTCAGTCCAAGTTTATATTAGTAACTGTTACCCTGGACATTAAAAACATTTTTCTATTGAATAAAATAAACCTGTATAAAAAGAGCTCCAAAGCTATGCATGAAGATATGCATGTGTATCACAAAATTATTCTTGTTTACTTTATGTACCATTTTTGAAGACTTTCCCAATTCCTTTAATTCCTTGGTATCTACTTCCTCGGTCTCCCTCCATATACGGGAACACACGCGCTTGGTGTGTCCAATAGTAATCCTTAGAACCAAAGAAAAACACAGGAAATTCTCCGATTTCATGCTTCATTTTCTGGATATTTGGGGGGACGTTTTTCGGATGGCACACTTCTGCAGGCCACCATCTAGCACAGAAGTACAAACAAACAAAGCACAACAGTTTAGCCAAGCTTCTTCTGCAAGTGTTGGCTTAACAAAATCACCTTAAACCGCAGCAATTTACTATTACTTCTACTGTAAGATGAAAAAAAAAAAGCACATTGCTTGGATCAAAACAAGCCTAAGATGCTCAAAAAAAATAGGTTTAAAGTCCTTTCCTTCTCCCACTCAATAGCCACTGAGACCAGACTGGGCTAGAAAGCCCTTTACCCAGAACTGTAGGAGTTCTGCAGCCTGCAAGATAAGCACACACTTGCACTCCTTGCATCTGCTTAACCTAATCAACACCTTTAACAAGGCCTGCAATTAGTGCACTCCTCAAAGATCAAAAGACAGCAATAGCTGTAAACCCCACCCGCCTCTATCGCGCTCACATCTTAATGAGGTCTGAAACACCCACAGCCGCAGTGACTTCTCTCTCAGACAGGAAGGTAGCAATTTACCCAATTACAAGTTGTACAAGCTTAATTATTTGAAAAGATTTCTGAAATGAAACGGGTTGAAGGCTCATTGCACTAGAAGCCTAAGTCAGAAGGCTACAAGGAGCCCCATACGGGGAGCGCCTTGGCAGAGAGTATTTATGAAGCTGTTTCTGAGGTGCACTGAAAAGACAAAAAGCTACAAGGGAGGTGGGTCCCTTGCTTGGAGGAGAAATGAGCAATGTGTGTGCAGCCGGGCTGACCTACACAAACAGCCGGTGGTGTGACCATTAATTAAAGCACGTCAATGTTACTGTACAGTAAGCAAAATAAAACTGTTCATCAGACCTGTAATTTCCCAGCTTAACCCAAATAATGTCCTGGAAATGGAGTTTCTTCCCTGCCCTGCAGTCGTTGCAGTACCAGCTCCCATCCGGCATTTCAATGTTTAGGCAGTCTGGGTGAAACGCTGCAGGACACGACTCACAGCACAACAAGCTACCTCCTGCAGGGGAAGAAACATGGAAAACCATAAAGACAAAAAAAAAAAAAAAAACCCACACAAAAGTTTCACATTCCAACCAGGTGTGAAGCAGCATGACACATATGTTGTAGGTTCAATTGGAAAAAAACACGGTTAAAAACATGTTGGCCTATAACAAATGCATATTATTCAGTTGTATTCAAAAGCCAGGAGAGCTTTACTAATTTGAATGCCTGGCAGACTGGGATTAGTAATTTACACAAATTAACAAGGTAGCTAACAATAAAAAGCCAGAATAGTGCACCACAAATTATACTTAGTTTTGTTTTAATAACTACAATATATTTAACATGGATTAATAAATATTAATACTTGACTGAATGCTAAATTTTCACAACAACAAAAAAACTCTCATCAAATTTCTCTATTACAGCTCTTTTTTGGGGAGCAGGAAATGAGATCATTAGTTTGTTTCATGAATTACCAAGTGGGAAGCTAGCTGCAGCCTAACGAGCTGCTGCGCTGCATGTTAATTCGTTAGCAAATCAGGTAAACTGTCTCCTCTAGTGTTAAACAGCACTGTGCATTCTGTGAGTAAAAAAAATATTATATAGTATAAAATAAAACATCATTAATTAGAAGCAGCTTCAGCAACAACTAGTTCGACATGCAGTGTGCTGCTAAACTAAAAACATCTCTTGAAATATTTATGATTTAATATTGTGCATTATCAATAAAGAAACACAAAAAGCATTCACTACATTGGCAAAAGAACCCAGAAGTACTTTTCAGGTATTTCTCTACAAAGAATTAAATCAGACTTCTGCACAATGTCCAATTGTAAATATTATTTAAGAAATTATATCTACAAGCAACAAGTACTCAAAAACTTAGGGCACAAGTTGACCTGAAGTTATTTCAATACCTAAGGAAATCTAATGTAATATGTCACATTTCTAGTAATTTTCATTAAACAGATTAGTAAGGTGGAAATTAAACTGAAGAAGAGAAGAGGAGGTTTAGATGCTGCACACAACACACACAAGCGCCCTACCCCGCTTTACCTTTGGAGCACACAAAGCACCAGCTCACGTTGACGTGCGCGTGGTGGGTCTTGCCCTTGGTGGCAGTGAAGTGGTTGGTGCAGACGATGCTGTTGGAGGCGATGACGGCGCAGCCCGCGGCGATGCAGACGTCGCCGGCGTGGTAGGCGACCGGGCAGCGAACGCAGCGCATCATCTTGCCTGGCAAGGCAAAACCTGGCCATGTTAGTGCTTGAACTGACCCAAGCCACCACTGCATCCAACGAGGGCACTGCTGAGAGACCCCGTTCACACAAAACTCCACCCGCTATTCTTTTTCTCGATTTTGCATATTTCCTTCAGCAAGAATACAGAATTAACACGTGTTTCTCACAAATTACCTTATACTGAGCTTAAAGCACAATAATGTTTAAATGTGAAGGCTTTAACTATGCACAGCAGGATAAACGATTCCTCAGTCACGCGATTTTGTCTACAGATGTTCCAAAGCTAAAAATAAGCACGGCATCAAATGGCTTTAAATTCAAGGAGCTTTACTACAATACATGTATATTCACACTTCTTGCCCTCGCTCTGATTGTCCTCCCGCTCACTAATCATCATATATTAATTCTTCCCAGAGAATGAAATCAAGGAAACATGGTTAACATAACTGAACACTACTTAACATAATTTGATAAAGAGCACAAACAAGATAAATACTTATGCTGTCCAAAAATTATGCAATTTTATTCAAAAAAGGAAGAAGCCAATCAGCAATATGCATGTGCCTGAAAAACTACCATTACAAGTCACTAAATGAACAGTTTCTTTACCTTAGCAAACCATAAATAGTCACAAAAATGTAAAAATGAAACTACCTTTTGAAACTCTTGGATGTGAAGGGTTACTAACATGACAACTTAGGCAGCTGTGGAGCGGACATCGAAAGCCCCTGTTCTCAAACACAGTCAAGTGAAATTTTTTCACACAAGCTTCGTGGTAGAATTTTCCACAGTGGGACACGACGCAGCGTTTCACATCCGCTTTTGGCTCTTTACACACAAAGCAGGTATGCACACCTAAGGGGTAAAAGTAATAAAAATGCTGTAAACACTTTTTTCATCCAACCCGGTGTATTTAAAATACACTTTTTTTCTTTTTTTTTGTTGGGTTTCTGTTTTGTTGTTGTTTAATGAATACAAATCACACTATTATTTGGAATAGCCATCTATTTTAATACTTTGGTTATAAGACCTTTAGACAACAGTCTGTTCAGATACGGATAAACTAAAATTATGGTGCAAAATCACTGCAGTTAAACTGTGCAGAACACTCAAAGCCTCCCTTTTCTGCTTTTATGTTCTTATTTACAAGCCTCAGTGCATCAAAACTAAAAATCTAATTTTTTTTTAAAGCAATAAAACAAGATTATGGGTTGTCTGTGATATTGTTCAATGTGACGTAGGTTCATAAGCCAGGACACACATTCCCTAAGCATCTCTGGACTACTTGGGACTTATCCTGAAATAGTCTGTCTCTAAGCAGGCTGATCACATGTACACTTAACTCAGCTTCTGAGCAAAAACCTTGCATGTAATGTTCTGAGATTCAGAACTTACAACCAGTTGTCACACACTTAAAAGCAAACAAAATTAAGAGCAATAAGGTAGTTTTTTAATTGGAAAAGCAGGATTTACAGAGACACACAAAAGACTAGAAAGGACTGAGAAAATTGCATTTGTTACTTCTGCTTGTTTTTAGGATTTCTGAGGTCTTTCAGACAGACTTTAGATCTGTAACTATTCTGCAGTTTTGAAGGTAATGGAGATCAGAGTAAAACACTCAAGTTGCAAGACACTTTGCACTAGAAACACGGTGAGATGTCTAAGACATGGCACAAATAATGGCAATGAACTTTCACCCTCTCAGTCACCAAAGGATACTTTTTTTTTTTTTCTCAGAGATGTATGCTCTGTTCAGGATAATTTCCTCAAATAAAATATGAGAAAGCTACACATTTTTATTATTATTATTAATAGAAAGGGACAAACTTGCCTGATGTACACTCACTACAAATGAATTTTCCTGATGGTCTTCCAGAGAGCCCAAGGCAGCTTACATGAAAAGCTCGATAGCAAAGTCCTTCACACAGTAGGAGATCACCTGTTTTTTCACAAAGCTTTTACAACACAAAGGCATTGAATGTTAAAGAAAAATTCATATGTGAAAAAAGACTTATTTTCTTATTCCTTTTCATGTATTTCTCCCCAATATCTCTTTACTGCTGTTGTACCATCATTTAACGAATGAAAGAATGATAATTTTGCAAGCATCATAATGTGCCCTTGTTTCTAATCAAAACAGGTAATAAAACCATTAAATGTCTAGAAATATCAATCAAGGAATGATGGTTCATGAGTAAATATGATTTGATAGAAAAACAGAAAGAAAGGCTTTAAGAATTCTTCCCTCAGTGATGTATCTGAGTAGGGTTAAAAAAGCATGCTTATTTTCCTTGGTAAGCGAAAGGTAGCATAAAGATGCTCCATGTCTCAGCTGTTAGCAAAGACACATGCATAACTAAAAATGAGCTGAACAGTAATGCTGGCAAAATTTAAGTCATAGCCAACATATAGCTATAACCTCATTATCACTATACGCAAGAAGCAATGAAAATATGACTGCTCCTCTAGTCCACTGCAAACAAATTTCATCTGCACAGAAGCACCACACTATAATTTCATAATCCAAGAATTCTCCTGCAATAGTGTTTGGGAAAGTTTTTTGCTTTCAGTTAGCATGCAGTATGACTATTGTTACCAATGCAGTATTGCTGCAATCTCCGCTGCGCTCAGGGCCTCGCTCGGAAGCGTAAACCCACCGCATTGTGCTCCCTCCTCCTCATTAGCAGATAAGGAAGCAGCTCCCCGCTAGCGTTTAACTGGTTCCCTAGCAACAGCCATGCACTTAATTCTGAGGCGCAGATTATGCTCATTTTACAGACCTGGAAACTAAAGCAGGAAGGCTAAATGACTCATTTGAGGTTGAGGAAAAAAAATATGGCATGAAGAGTTGTGGTTTACTGGTACAGCAGTCTCATCACTAAGATGCATCTCTTCCATCTCTTTACACACTGTAAAATTGCTGCTGGCCTAATGCTGTCATTTATATATATATATTAAAAAAGCACTTTTCTAGCAAAAGCACAGCTCACTGCTCCAGCTAACATCTCTCACCTGACACACATATTCTTTTTTTGTTCCTGCTCCTCGCTCAGATTTTTTGGAAGATATAGACACTTCTGTCTGAGTTTCATCAGCGCTTTCATAGGGAGACTCGGATCGCTCATCCCCTTGACCATCGGAGATCTGAAGATTAAACACATATGATTAGAGAAAGCAGCCATGTATAGTGAATTTGTACAAAATATCAACTGAAGGAAATAAAAAGACGGCAATTTAGAATAACAGATTTACACACTCCTTTTTTTTTGGCATTATTTTCTCACCTTTAAAATAACTTCGATTAAAACTGAAAGCATGCACTTGTAAAGTCTAATCAAAAGGACTATATAACAGTTGTTTACAGCAACTCAACAATAGCCAAAACAAAATGTCGAATCTTTGTAGGGTGGAATTTTAGTTATGCTCAGTTCTGTCACAGCCAGCCAGAAATGCCTAGCCAGTTCATTTAAGAAAGAAACTTGGTAAAATTTCAAGTTGCATATGAAAGCCTCTGACCAAGTACTGTCCAAGAAAGTGGGAAGAGGAGATACATAGAAGAGAGGGAAAAGGTAAAAAGTGGTTCTCTGAATGACGGTTAAGGAAAGCTGCAGCTAATAATGAATTACAAACATCACAAAAAATGAATGAGTGTAATATAATATAGATGTATTAAAAACATATAGGATTTAGAATATCCATAATTACTTTTTCTAAAAATAAAAACATAGAGAAAATAGAGGGAAGTTTTCAGCTCAACAGAACTTCAGGGCAGGCAATTTGGCCATAAATCTTATCTTTTGCTATATCAGAAGATCAAATTCCATACTGCTGCCCCCAGACTGAACCCAATGAATTATTTTTGGCTAAAGCACATTCTCGGGAGCATCACAGTTTGCAATTGCAAAGGAAATCTGTCCCTTCTCTTGAACCTTGTTGCAATGCTTATTCAAACACACCATCAACAATTGTCCCTTATGTCCTTTTTGAGCTGTTTAACTGCAACCCACAGCTGATGATGCTTTCTCCATGTATTTCAGCTATATTATATAGAGTCCTTCGGAACCAGATATTTTCTTCCTGCGGAAGCGTGCTGCAATCAAGCCTATTTCAATCCTTGTTGGCAAGCCAGAACGAGGTCTAACATTCTCACTAAGGAATCTGCTCCTGCCTTAAGAGAATTTTTGGTAGGTTTTCTCGAAAGCTTTCTTGTATTTTTAAAAAGGCTGTTAAAAAACTGGGCATGAGAAATGGAGGTGCATTCTATTACAAGTTGCATAGATAAAATACCCAAAAGTAAAAACAAACATGCTCATCTTCTTCACTACCACTGCTCACTTATTTAGGGAACTCCGTAAGTGTTCTCAATACAACATTGAAACTGTCTAGAAAGCATTTTTCCAAAAGCTGTTTGTCAGGATACAGACCACCTATCCATACAAATAAATTCCATTCTGTTCTCAGATACATAAATATTTTATATACTCTACACATATATATGTAACATTATATGTATATAAATATCTTACGTAATCTCCAATAAAAGTTTATTAAAAACAACCCACTAAGTAGTAGAGGTGGCTGCACGCCCTTGCCCCGCCAACCAATCTCCACGTCATCTGCAAATTTATTTTGAGATAATTTATTTTGAAATCGGAGATAAAAATACAAAAGCACATTGGGCCTACTGTTAATTAGCCTTTATAAAAGCCCATTAGAGACACCGTTACCAACCGGTAACACCTCTGTTGCTGCCAGTTAGCTTGCTTTCTGCCATTTAGTATTTGCTTTGACAATGTTTCCACTGCTCTGTAAATTCGATCTTAGCAGCGTTTGTCAGATGACTTCCAAAGGATTCGGTGCATTTCCTCTGTGCAAATGTGCCCTAGCAAAGAGATCCGTGTCTACACTTCACCTAGGGGTATTGCTATAATTGAAGTGATCTAATAATTTTGTCTGTCTGCTTTTGCAGCATTAGCATTCAGGGGGTTAAAAGAAACTGCCTACAAAGCGATGGCTTCCTTCAGACATCAGGAAATCCCTGTCAACTGGAAGGAGCCGTGAAATAGTAAACGGCAAAAGCAACCCGAGCGGGTTGCGGGGAGCTGCGCAGGGGCAGAGGAAGGAAGGTAGTATCAGCGTCTGGCAAAAACAAAACCAAACAGAACCCAAACCCCTTTCCCTTACAGCTTAAGGAAACTCACATACAGGCTTATTCCTGTTTGAGCTATCCCCACAGCAACACTAATTAGCATGGGCAGCTCAGGGCTCTAACTTTTTAGTGCTTCATTATATTCCTGTTATAATTAGCCCAAGTGAACATGTTGTGTTGTTTTTTTTTCCCTTTTTTTGGGGGGGTAGAAGCTCTTAGATCTGTTTGCCTTTTTCTAAAGAAAAACTTAAGCCTAACATAAACAGGATGACCATGGTCTGTACTAATTTCACAGTAAGGTTGCTTCCTCCCCGCCCAGCAGAAAGTATCCATAAAACCTATAGGAAAGAACAACCCTGCAACACGTCTCCTCTGTGCTGCAGCAAAGGCTGCACTACCTACAGCGTGGCCCTTAAGGAACACCACCCTTCTTCCCCCAGCTCTCTATCTTTGCAGGCAGAGAAATTAAGCAGAAGAGAGCAGAGGCAAGAGCCAGACTGCCCCACCAGCACCACCGCACGCCGCAGCGAACCAGCTGCACAGCGGCCGGGCCCGCAGCCCCTTTCAGCGAGACCAAGGCCGGTCCCTGGCCGTCGCCGGGAGCCTCCCGCACCTCCCAGGCCCGGCGCGCTGCCTGCCGCGGCTTTGCGCCGGTGGGAGCAGCGGCAGGGCTGCTCACCGACTGCCCAAGCCCTCGGCCTCCGCGCGCTCGCAGCAAGGCCTGCGCTCGGCTTTTTCTGCCTCGCGCAGGCTGCCGCCACGCAGCGAATCGCTGCTTCCTCGTGACCCGAATCACACGTTTAGCGAGTGCCTCTGAGCGCTGTGGCACGTGAGACCGGCGCAGAACCCGCAGCCCCGTCAACAGCTACGGGTGCCTTCAGACTGGCTTGTTTTGGGGGCTAGTAAAGCGAGAGGCCAGCAGAGCTCCTCTTTAACTCAGAAAGATTTCATCTTAAGAAAGATTTTTCGAGGATACCTCAGAGTTTGGGGCTAATCTTGTTTTCGCGCAGACAGGGACATCTCCGTAGCTGCCATCTCCTTGTGCAAAGGGACCCGTCCTCCCTGACTGCCCTTCAGGTCATCTCCTTCAGCGCTGCAAGCTAGGATTCAACCTCCAAACTCCTTAAATTCTCCAGGGAAAGCAGAAGAAAACACCAGGGTGGTAAAACAAGCATCTGCCCACCCTAGGCCTGTGGAAAAGGGGGTGAGAGAGAACAGCTTCGTCTAATAGTTCTCAGGGAGGACTTGCAACGTGACAGCATCTCCTGTGACCACGAGGGTCAGGGGAACCGTGCGTGGGCCCTCAGGGACCTGCCGCAGCACGACGAGGGCCAGGACTCACGCAGGAAACCACCCGGCTGCACGATAAAGCCATCTTTGATCAAAATAAAAAAATCCGTAACTAGAGCGGATATACGGTACAGGAGCTGGGAAGCAGTTCACATGTAAACAAAACACAACCACCTCTAAAATGAAACGCAACCGTTTTGTGGCCTGTGAACATTATGTGATACGTTAGACACGTAAACATCTACGCGAGCAGGAAAGCACACCAAGCCATAAAAAAATGTACAGATCTTTCCTAGTCTCCACCTCCGCGTACTTTTTTAATTGATGTTGAACTACAAATTAAAACTCTCCCTTGCGATCATGCCAGGGCCGGTCTTGTCCTTATTTTTGTAACATAATCTTCTCTGCAAGGTAAACCACGCAATTAACTCTCCTGACATTCAGGCCAAGGTTCACAGTAACCAACACTTAGGCTAGCAGCAAAACCTGTTATTTAGCAATTTGTAGCCACTGCTAGTTAGATATTTAAAGCTATTTTACATTTGGAATAATTCCTTATTTCCCCACAAGGGATGTGCTATTTTTAAGAATGCAAATACAGGGGGAAGGAAAAGGCAAAGTTGTTCCCTTCAGACTGACAGCACTGACTGTCTGTGCAAAACTATCATACCCCAACTCCACAGTCACCTGCAGTTATCAGCAACAATCAGCAAGGCTAGAAAATAAAATGAAAACCCAGAAGATATCCTTCTTCTGCTGAAGTTATTCTGCTGAAATATCACCAAAAGTACTATAAAACTTTTTAATTGGTAAAATAAGCAGGTTTTCCTTCCTACTTCCTTGATTTAGGAAACTTTTTTTTTTTAAACAGTAATTGCCTTTGAAAGATTTCATACTGCATGCACTAGACAGTCAGCAAAGTTGCTTTTTCAGCCTCAAATCTTTTTTTTCCTCTTTTTTTTTTTTTAAATTTACTTTTAACTGTGTATATACACAAGAGAAGGGAAAAAAAATGCCCTAACTAGATTTTGCCCCAACATGCCCAACAGGATTTTGGTTGTGTTAGAACTTAATTCAGGGATTAATGAAGTTCAGGATGCAGTTGCTTGCAAATTGACAACATACCAGGTATATGAGTTATTAAACACTAGTTATACAAGCAACAAAAATGACCTGAAGAGAGCATATAAGGAATTGTGACTGTATTTTTACAAATTCGCTACAGCCTTGTTATTGGAAAAGTGAAATAAATGGACATCAAATTTTGAGGCATTTCTGTATTCCTCTGGATTTAGTATTACATCCCCCTCTATGTTTTAGCAGTGGGAATATACAAAGCCGTGGCAATGTATCATCAATTTTAAAAAATTAGATTTAGTGATCTCACAGCATTTTGCTCATACACCTCACAGGACTGCAACTTTTGGGGGGTACTAGGCACAAAAGCTTAGGACAGAAGCAAGCAGATTAAGTTCGTCATCTGAATTAAGCCTTTCACGTTGCTAAATTGCCTGCTCACAATAACCCGAAGAAGTATTTAATGGGATCTTTCAAACAAACACAGACCTACTTTGAGAAAGGCTACAGAAGAATGCTTATAAAAGCAATGATCAGTATTAATTAATTACTAAATAACGATGCTTCGGATGTTGCAATATTTGATGCACTAAGCTGGACTACAAGCAAACACACACTGAATTTTGCT